CCTCAAAATGTTGTTCTTATTGTTTATTGTATTTATTTATTTATTGTATTTTAATTATTAATCAAAATATTTCTGTTGAAATTTTATCCTTGTGGTATCGAGTATCGAATATTTTCCTTAGTATCGGTATCGAGTTGAAAAGTTTAGTATCGTGACAACCCTACCTCTAATGATCTTAAAACATACTTTTATTGAACACCAGCAACAAAAAAGAGAACTTTTAACTTTCAGTGATGAAACTATACAGAAGCCTTGTCAGTTGATGACGTTTCACAAGTACACGAGCACATGAGAACGCACAAGTAAACATATTGAGAAACTGCAATATTGTCCTAAAAAAAATTACCTACTTGGTGGAGGTAACAGCAACAATATAGCTAAAAAAAAAATAACTTTTGTTTTTGTTGGCTTGACAATAACAGTAATAATCCTTTAAGAGTTTATACATAGCAGGTCCTCCTTCAGAGGTCAGTAGAGGGTTAAAGAGGTCACTAAAGGGTTAAAGTCCAGGCATGACCATGAGACATTTGCACTGTATGTCTAATAGATCAAAGACATGCAGCTACTTACATCCAAACTAACACATGCTGCAGCTCTGACAGCTATTTTCAGAAGCAGCGAGGCGTTTAAAACTCAACGTTGACGTAGAACGACAGATGTAAGAAGCTATAAGCAAGTGAATATCTGCTCGCTGTGTTGAACACATACAGCATTATTAATGTTGCAAACAAAAGAGAAAGACTTTTAATAAACAACGACAAGGCTATACGCAATATGTGAATAATACATAAGCTGTCATAGCAGAATGGTTTGAAAATAGTACTGAGTGATGTTCTTATATCTTCTCATATTAATGGAGAGAAGCTGGAAGCTAAAACTCTAGTGGACATTGCAGCCTAAATACAAATACAACACAAACACATATTGTTTTTACTGTTCCTGGAACATTATCACACAGAAGGTCTGAAAAACCAGCAGCTTAGAGCAACAATAACTTGGGAAACCCCAGGTCACGTTATGACTGAGAACTTCGTAAAATAAGGTTAAATTGAGAAACATCTGTGTATATACTTTAAACCAATTCTTTAACATACTTAATGAGAAAAAACTGAATACAAGAAATCAGCAAAAGACAGAAAGAGTTGTGGACAACGATTATAGACCTGTGGCGTATAAACTCCACAGGAATATCCATCAGATCACTTCCACACAGTGGCAGACAAGGGAACATGTGCCACGAATGGGAGGAAAAGTGCTGCAAACACATAAATGTTGCAACTTTCATAGCATACAAACACAAATAACAAATGGAACAGAGAAAACATTGCAAAACAGACCACTTCCAGTGAGAAAATAAACAGAAAAAAGAGGAAATAGTCCAAATACCAATAGAAACAACACAGATAGAAAATTTTAATTAATAAATAAGCAGTAAACTCTACACAGAAAAATGGACGTGCATCAGGAAACAAGAGGAAGTCAACGACTAAATCAGATGGAACTGCTTTAATAATGTAAAATATTTGAATACATATGTTTAAGAAAAAATGACGTGAAGGAAAATTAACCTTTTCTTTCTTTCATCCTTTCTTCTAGGCAACAAATTAATGTCCAATCTTTTTTTTTCTTCTTCTTTTGCTTTCATTTTCTATGATTTCTGCATTTTTCATTTGAATGTATTTTTGTGGGATTGTATGTTTTGGAGTATGCATCATCCATAATGTTGCAATAATGCTTACGCCTGTTGGCCAACGCCCTTCAAGAAGATGCAAAACATGAGCATCAACCCCAGAGCCGATGTACATCATCTAAAGCTGCTGCCTGGTAGGAACGCGCCATTATAGTCTGATACCGACATGGACTGCAAGACCACGAAAGGGGAAGAAGCAACTACTCCACTAGCAATTCAAAAACTAGTTTACAGTCTAAATAACACTCAGGCAAATCTCAGTCTTTGCAAAAATGAGCATTAGTCTAGTGAGATCATTTGAAGCGTTTTGGTCCGTTTTAACATTTCCAAATGAATTACGAACTGGTTGGATAATTCCAGCAAACTACTGAGGAACTGGACAACCAAAATATTTGACCCCACTCACACTACAGATTAAATGCAATTCTACCAAAAACTAAGGAAAAAGTTTGTAAAATGCAGATTTTTAAAGAGTATAAATATTTGTCACAACATCACTGTCATTATTACAAAATGTTATTGAAACTCCTGATATGCTTACAACAATAAATCTGACATTAGGAGCAACATCTGGAACTCTAAGGAAAGTTTAAAGTCATGTGATTGTGTGGAGCTCATCCCAAAACATGTGATTCCAGCCAAGTGAGCTGTGGAGATGAGGGTTTTCTTCACAGAAGAGGCATCCGCACTGTAAACACTCAAACTAAACGCATACTTTGACACAGAAACAGAGCACATTCAATCTGGCCTACATGCTTGTGCTAAGAAGTTGAAAATCAGTTAACATGTTTCTAGAAGGAGTAGCAGGTTGGTATTAGAGAGGGAACCCCCACCCCTCATCACCTCGCTAAGATTCTTCACATTCTCAGAGTACCAAACTATGTGTGTTCAAATCTATCAGGGGTCACACCCAGCTTACAGAACAGAAAACATAGAGCTCCATGTCTGCTGTGAAAGGAGAAAGAAAATCTAACCCTTAATTCAACCTGAAAGCCAAAAGGTATGTGGATAATGCAGCGGAGCAAATATCTGATAGAAAACAAAGATTATTGTAAAAAAAAAAACTGCTTTTCATTCTATGGGTCACACAAACTTGAGGTCTGCAATTCATTGAACTCTATAGACCACGAATTACAGAGAAATAATTAATTTGAAGTCTGAATCTCTACTAACAAGGACATAAAGTTCGATCAGAAACAAAAAAAGATCCAGAAGGCAAGCTTAGGTAGAATAGAGGCTGAACTACTCACCTTATGCAGCTCTATGGACTCGATCCAATGCAGTCTGTGCTCGGGATCCTCTGCTCGGAGGTACCAAACGCTGTCATTCACACTGATGTCAAAACGGCACTCGTCAAACTCGTGAGGCTGCGCAAAGAGAGGAGAGGCCTCATGAATAACAACGACGTGAGCTTGGACTATGGAAGGACTATCTAAAAGCATATTAACAAAACTCAACATAAAGTTTTCTTTACCTCCATTAAATTACTGACTTAGCAGCAAAACGCAACACCAACAGCTCTTTGTAAGACTAACTGACTGGGAATGACACATTCTTGAAACACATGGACTCAATCAGGGACAGAAAGCCATACGTCCCACATGATAAACAGAGATTTTAATTGAGAACTGATGTCTTGTGTCTGCAGTGCGGGCCTAGTCCTAAACGACTGCAGCAGGGCTGAGCAAAGAGAAAAAAATTAATTATTAAAAGGGAGAAGTTTGGGTCGTTTTAACTTTTTGCCTTCTCCTTTAGGGAGGAATCCTTCAACTTATTAAGCTCCCCCACCCTGCTCCCCTCACTGACTGCCTTAGGCATCCAAACACATGCAACAAAGAATTTGCCCGTTTCTCCCCAGACTGGAATTTGACCACTGCGCTCAGTTGTGACGAGTTCGGTTCTACAGAGGTTCACAGGAAGTACCAACATGCAGAATATACAGGATTTCTTGTCAGTTTATTTTCCTCCAGGACCCAAAAGAATACAGCTGCTCAGTCAGCTGACACAACCTTACGGCAGCTAAGTTTCATTTAATTTGCTGAATGACGCTCATGTGCTGCCTTATTTGCTGCTGCAGACAACAGTCACATCCCTCCAGATCCTGACAACCAAGTCTGAGCCTGTGCTACTTTATGCAACTTTTTTGGAGACACCCAAATAAGATAGCACATTTCACAAGTTGGACTTTGCAACTGCCAATTAGGTGAAAGGTTCCCTACGATATTTCAGGGCTTTATAATACTAAAGACTTCATCTGGCTGACTGGATATTATAAGAGAAATGCTTCCCCGTTTCTGACGAGAGCCTGAAGATAACCTGCAGTGACGATAGGTGCATCAAGCCGTGACTGTTAACTGGTTAGAGAGAAAGAGAAGTAGCCATCTATCACACTGTGCAGTATCAGACACGGATCATAAAGCACTGCTTTACACTCATCTTTATGGTTTGTTCATTTCTTTTTCACATTGCATAAGCACTCCTGCACAAAAGGGCTGCGTCCAGGACAGAGGAACCCTGTGTAAGCACACAGGAGGTTATAAACCAGAGCTGGAGTAGATTCTGTTCACTTCAGCTGCCAACAATGACTCATTTTTCCAATATTTTCCCTTTTAATTAAATAATACTGGAAGAAAATAGCTCTTCTTTTAGATTTTTATGGAATTTCATATTTATTCCACATCAAAAAATAAAAGATTTGAGTATAGGAGGTATAAAAACTACAAAAACACACCAGTAGTGTTACATAAATAAAATCTAATTATGATTTATGTATTTTAAAATGAAAAACATACATTTTTATAGCTTAACAAAATAAAAATTAACTGTCCTCAGATAAAACTTTTGTACTGAAACCCAATAAGAAAATGAAAAGGCGTCCATTATATTAGGAGGCAATTAATTTTATAAAATTTTCTTGAATTCATATATTAATGATTGACTTAAATTATCTTCTAAAACAGAATCAAGTAAAAAGACTTACACGGCTATGGAAGTATGGGAATTAAAACACCAAAATGCAACTTTTCCAAGAAATCCCAACAGACAAGCTATCTGACTTCACAGGGTAAAATATAATCCCAGCTGCTTTGCCTGCACTGTTTGGTCATTCCAATATAAATAGAAACAGCAGATTATTTAAAAAGCTTGTTTTTCTTTATACTTTAGTCCTCATATCTCTCTGTCACAACACTGAACTGGCTAATATCTAGTAAAACTAAGGAACTAATCATTACATGTCCTAATCAAATCAACCTATAGCAAAAAAAAAAAAGGTTCAGTAACATCATTTGTTTGGAGGCTCAAACAGGAGTGAATATTTAACCAGAGTTTGGAATTTCAGCATATCTCACTCGCACAGAAAAAATGTGATGCCAGTGACTTCGCTGGGCGGTCAGAGTTAACATTTAACAGGGAAAAACATTAGTTTAAAGTATACAAAAAGGTAAAAAATATATATAAATACAAAAAATAATCTGAAAACACTAGGATGGACAGGGTGTACACTGCCTCTCACCCAATGACAGCTAGAATTAGGCAACAGCTGACCTTTTACTGTGCAAGGACAAGCAGGAAAAACAATGATATGGAAGGGTTAGAACAAAGCCTTAGAATTTGCTTATTTAAACAATCTGTATGCCAATGTGATGCATAATGGTTCATTTTAGAAGTCTAACTTAAATGACAGCCACTAATCAAATGAATAAATGAAATCCGACTGTCAGATATAACAGAAACAAAACCACAAGCACTGAAGAAGGAAATCTCCCCCCTAACTATCAAGCTATGAGTGAGCCTGCCATTGCCATTTAAGCTCCAATCACTTTATACCTGATAACTACAACTATACCCTCAAAAACAGGGTTCAGTTTCCAATTATAGTTTCAAAGTATAAGCTGAGAGAATATTTTCTGTAGCCCGTCATAATGTCGAAAATATTACCATTATGTTCCGTCTGAATAAACGAATACTACAACTTAATTAACTGGATTATTCTAACCACCTTGAAGATGTTAGATCTCTTTTTCTAGAGAGTGGTGAAAGACACACTGCATAATGTAGGTGCAAAAACCACACTGTCTGTGTGATGTTAAAGACTAAACATATTTCCTTCTTCTGGGGTCGGTACTTACTGTGATAACAGCCTTACTAAGGCACAGGGAACCTCTGCAGCCATACTCCCGTTCATCCTCCGACTTGTAGTAACTTAGAGTATTGTTTTTCAGCACAACCCATCGGTCCTGCCAGCCGTGTATATAATTCGTCCACTGAAAGCACATAGAACAAACAGCATTCAGTCATCTAAGTCCGCAATCCAATCAATAGACTTCACAAATGACTAATCAAAGTTAAGTTTTCAGGAAATGCAAAGGAAACTAAGAGTTATGGGAAATGATTTTTAAAATTCAAACATTTCCTGAAGTGATAGCAACATTAGTGCACCTCAGGGTGATATTTATATAGCAATTACTTTCCTGAACTTGTTAACTTCATGTTACTTCTTCTATGTTTGCAGAGCATATCGTGTAAGCAACAGAATGAAGATGGACTGTCACCTTTATTGTTATGTAACATGATTGCTTATCAGGGTGGATAAATGTGTCTGAGCGTCTCACACAGATCCAGATGTTGTAGCTGATCTGACTCATCCATCAATTAAAAAGGTTTTAAAGAAAAGTAAAACCTTTCAAATTAAAAGCTTAAATCAGAGTAATTACATCCCCCGCAGGAAAACAATAGAGACCCATAATAAACTCAGAGAATTAAGAAATAGGATACCTTTATTGAACATTTATTTTATATCATTAGTATTCTAGAAGCCTTGTTTTAACACACTTACATGTACTGAAATACTAATGTTGATTCAGTCCATTGTAACTTCCAGATCAATAAATATTTAATTCACAACACCCTTCTTAGTAATGTTTACACACCCTTAATGATATTATGGGGGTAATTAAAACACACGGATTCTTAATTTCGCAGAACTTACTTTGCTTAAAACTCCTCCAAACTCCACAGGCTGTCCGGATTCCGGGTCCACATCCTCATCTGAACCGGACGATGAACTCTTCTCGGACATTGATTTTTCCAAGTCTCCAGAAAGCCTGACTCTGATTTTCTCGACAGCTCAAGGTTAACGGCTTGATTAGCTTATCTGTTTCACGGCGTCACGGCCAAACCCGCAGATACTTCTTGAAATTATGAGCCTAAACGTCAGCGAAACAATGATAACTCATTACCTGCACATGCAAAACATGTAAAAATGGAGCTTGATATTGAAACTTTTCTTTTGCAATATGAAACCATTAGACTTTCTCATAAAAAGTTAGTCTGAACGTGACAGCTGGGTCTCCGTTTCTCGGTTCTGCGGGTTTTGTTTTGAAACTGATGTCGAAAACCAATAAGCCTAGCTAACTTAGTTAGCTGGCAAACGACGCAACTAGCTAACAGTAACTTCAAATGACTCTCAGACGGGAGCAGTTTATCTTAGCTATAGTAGCAGTGGTCGCTAATATGTTCAGCGAAAGGCCTCCGTGTTAGCGGAGCACTACAAACTTACACCTACTAGAAAGAAGCCAAGAACAGCCTCTCTGCTGGTCCGCAGTTCAGTTAGCAGTAGCGAAGCTCTGACTAGCTCTGTTGGGGGAGGAGCTGCAACCACGCTTTACTGTGTACCTGTCAAATTGTCAAGGTAACGAACGTTACAGTCAGACCGGAAGTTGTACAGCCGCTTAAGAAAATAAAAGCATTTAACACGTAGGTCGACTTCATAAAACCTGTTAAACTTGCCCCATGTAATATACGGGCGTTATTAAACGAAGCAAAAATGAATTGCGCAGTATGTGGTCAAATTTGCTTTAACCAATGCAAATATAGAAGTAATGGTGTTATCATATCAACTGCACAAGTGTTCTACAATTCAGGATCGTTTTTCAAATGTTTTGGTTAAAGCTACAGTGTGTAACTTTTAGCGACATCTAGCGGGCAGACTGCAGCAACATGAACATCCCCCCCCCCCCCCGTACTGGAAGACATTTTTACGGGACAAAATGTCTTCCACTACGTCTGCATCACCTACCTTCTCAAGTGATGAGGTTTGTTTACATAGATAATTTTACAGATAGTATTTCATTAGTCTGTGTAGGGTATAGATTTCATGTAGACTTAAGATAATAAATATACCCATTATTTTTTCTACATCGTTGTGACATTTTGGCGATCTCGCAATCACTAGTTTGTTGGCTCTGCGCTGCCGTAGTGCAAAGATGTCTGCCTCCATGGCTGCGAGACCTGCTCCTATGTAATTATAAACAACGAATTCTAAGGCAACGCAAATATTAAGGTTAAGAGGCTGAGCTCGTAGATGATGATAAAATAAGATAGTTATGTATAATATATTACATTTCTGACTGTATATCCCTGTAATTATTACACACTGTAGCTTTAAAACATTTTTAAATTATACTATTGCTATGACTTAAATTAGTAAAGAGAAAATACTCGTGCAATCAATGGCGTAACCACAATAATAACCGTTATGGCAAGCCGTTTTAACATAAATTCGGTTATACCGCCTTAACTTTTAAGATATCTCAAATTGTTTTATGACTAGACGTTTTAGCAATTTAGGATATCTCTAATTATATTTTGACTAGTCAAAATACCTATTCGAGATATCTCTACCTATTCGAGATACCCCACTAAACACACTGTACGTAACGGTTATGGTTTTAATCAACGCTCTGGATTACCCATACTTCCAAATTGTAGTGTAAAAAATAAAATACTCAAATGCATCGTTCTTGTAAGATCTTTATTGCGGTTTGAAACATATATGAGTGTATTTTTTTTACCAACCATCTAATGAACTATGAACAGTTATTAACATAGTAATTAAAAGTACCACTGTCTGCCTTGCTATTGGTGTCTTGTTAAAACGGCTCACCATCCTGTTGAAATCTGGCATGTGTTGGGGTATAAATAAGGTCCGGTCAATCAGGTAATTACCAGGTGGGTTTAACATGAATTTTGTACACAATTACATCTGCAAAGAGATGTCCTAGTCCACATTTGCATAGGGTGCCAACCAGATATCAGTGACAGGGCCCCTAAGAGGTCGTGGGCCTCTAAGCAACTGCAGTCTCTGCTTACTGATAGATACGCCATTGCGTGTAATAAGATATTAAACATAAAAATACGGTGAATTCCTTCCCCACTATCTACTGATTTTAATCTGGTTGATACACTTTTCCCATGCAGACATGTTTGCCATTCTGGAGTTATTTCCGGATGCAAATGTGCATAGCCCTGATGTGAACAGAGTGAGCGCAATCCAGCACTTTAATGCTGGCCAGCAACCTCAAATCAAAATCAGAGTTTAAACATATCTGAGGTCAACATTGTCATGGGAAAGGCTGTCTACACTCGCTAATCTCTCCATTGAGCAAGAAGTAAGTGGATATGGATCATCTCATTGCAAGATTTGCTGAAGCCAAGGCTTGAAAAAATAGACTTTAGTGAGAAAGAGAATACAACTACTAGAAAAGGGGACAAAAAAGCATTGAGAGGGGAACAACAAGAAAAAGGGAAAAAGAAAAGGGGGAAACAAGGAAAAAAAGCATTGAGAGGAAAACGACAAGAAAATTGACTCTTTTCTATGTGTTGTCTTCAAAATCCAAGGGGGGCCCCTGCCTGTCTTTGCCTAGGGCCCCCAATTTCCTAGATCCGCCCCTGGTTACACTAGATGTGATTATTAACTTCCATTTTCTTTACTCAAGAGCTCCTTTTTTGTACCAATTTCGCTTGACCACTCCCTGCTTTCTTTTTAAATTTAAAATTAAATAAAGGGCCTTTATGTGGATTTTTGTGAAACTTTGAAGTTTCTTTTTCTTTTTGTTTTTATTTCAATTTTTATTTTAATCTGACTGGAATTAAAATCATTTTCAAAATCACTTTTTAAAATTTCTGTTTCTTATTTGGCTAATGTGATTGCTGTTGGTGTAGCTGTTCAGAGAGGCAGTCAATATAAAACATTGTATATTCACACCAATAAAGACCTTTTTTCTATTTGCCTGTGTATTGTCTACACATTTCTTGCACTGCAGTCACATCAATGACAGTGAAGTCTAAGGTTCATGAAGTCCACTCATATCAGGAGATATATCAGCTTTTATTTCAGGCCATAAACTTTTTTTTAAACACAAAAACCTTACCCTGTTATTGTGTAGAATTGGTGGTGGAGGTCTTTGATCAGTTCATATCAGACGCAAGTCCTTTTGGTGATTCTTTGAGAGTTTAAATCAGGATTAAAAGGTTTAAGGCTGGTCTAATGACATAGTATAACTGTATAACGGCTTTAGCTCTTGTATTGTATTCAATAAGTTGTATTTTATATTTATAAAATGCAACTTATAGTATTTTGCTTCTATATTTTATGTTATATTTTATATTTCTATTTTTATAACAATACTTTGAGGGAAACAATCATGTCAAAACTATAAAAAATGTGGTGAAGTCATAATAAACTGATATGACTTAATAACCATCCATGTAGATATACATATATCTATATACATATATGTACATGTCGATATATGTTTATATATATATTTATTTTTATATATATA